AGAGCCCCCAGTGTCTGCCAGGGGCTGGCCCTGTGGAAAGACCCAGTCCTCAGAGGGCAGAACCCGGAGCTGGAATCCCGGCCGCGTCTCGCCGGCTGCGTGGCCGTGAGCAGTTCCCACGCCTCTCGGAGTCGGTGTTCCAGTACAATGAGGGTGGACGGTGTTTGCTCCACAGAGGCCCCGGGACTCCCACTGAGGAGTGCCGGGCAGTCACCGTGGGGTGTCCCCTCTGTCTCTCGGTTTCTGACTGCTGGAGACATGGGGGACAGGGGAGGCCAGCGAGCAGACCAGCCTGAGCTAGGGGGAAAGGCCCCTCCGGCCCACAGGGCTTGAGCTGGGACTCTTGTGACCCTATTTCACAGAGGGGTACCCAAGGCTCAGGGGGCTAATGACTCAAGTGGGAAGCCAGAGGGCTTCCTGGAGGAGGTGCTGGTATCTTTGGGCCCAATCTGGCCTGTCTGCAGGTGGCAGCGGGGTGCTGCAGCATCTCAGGGGCCTTCCAATCTATTATGGACTGGATTTTGTCCTCAAAAAATTCTTACGTTGAAGTCGTAACTCCCAACAGTACCTCAGAAGGTGACTCTATCTGGAGATAAGGCCTTTAAGAAAGTGACTAAGTTAAAATGAGGCCATTAGGGTGAGTCCTAATCCTGTATGACTGGTGTCCTTATAAGAACAGGAGACACCCAGACACGCACAGAAAGGCGACCGTGTGAGGATGTGGGGAGAGGGTAGCGTCTCCCCGCCCAGAGAGACGGCTCAGGGGAAACCTGCTCTGCTGACACCTGGATCTCGGATTTCCAGCCTCCAGAACTTTGAAAAAATAAATGTCTGCTGTTTAAGCCCCCCAGCCAGTGGTACTGTGTTCTGGCAGAGCCCTCGGACACTAACGCACGAGCTTGTCTCCACCTGCCCTCCTCCGGCCCCTGCCCCGGTGGCTCCAGCCGCCTTGGGACAGGCCTGGATCAGTCCTCCTTGGATTTTCCCTAAGTTTTTTCCAAGGATGCTAGCAGCGGAATCCCCCCGATGAAGACATGCGGCCTGCCTCTTCTGGGAAGTCTCGGTGACCCTCTCCACAAATCCTCTCCAGCCTGATCCACTGTGGAGGAGGAGGCCTGTGCTCACAGCTTTGCTGACCCCTGCCCAGAAGGCCATCCCTCCTCACCCCTGAGGGGAATCCTTCTCTCCTTTAGCCCCCCTCCACGCCAGCTCCTGAAGCCCCCTGGAATGGCCTGTGGCGTAGGACATTCCCTTTGCTGTCACTGTGACACCCTCCCTGAGCTGCCCTACTTCCAGGCGGGGGTGCTGTGGGCTCGTGTCCCCCTCCCACGCCCCGCCCACCCCAGCAGGCCGGCGCCTCTGGCCTCAGTGTGCCTGCCGGAGGGGCTGGGGGCTCCAGCAGTCCCTGCAGTGTCCCTCCCCCGCTGCCTTGAGCCGCGAAGGGCTGCCCCTCCCCTCGCATGCTCCCTGAAGCCTGCGCCATGGGCAGCCAGGAATCAAAGGTTGGAGTGATAGTGCCTGGAATGGAAAGGGGGTGGGAGCACACTTCTGAAAGTGAAACTACCGGGTTGGGGTGGGGTGTGGGGCGGGGGGGCCAGTGGGCCCAGGGCGCTGCAGACCAGGCTGGGAAGTCCCAGCTGTTGGTCACTCACTCTCCGACCGTGTTGTGAGAGTGAGTGACTGCTCCAGTGGTCTCGCCACCGAGGCCCAGCTCTGGGGGCCTGGCTCAGCCGGCTTCTCCGGGCTGCCCTGTCCTGCCTGGGGGCCCCGGGCTCTCCTCACCCAGCAGGTATGTTCGGTGCAGGTGGAGCAGGAGGGCTGCAGGGATGCTGTGGGCAGTGGGCAGGGACTCAGCGGACTGAGGACAGATGCCGGCCTGCCCAGTGGCTTTCTGGGCCAAGGGCCTCGGCTCGGAGCCCAGGCCGGAGCGCCAGCTCAAACCGCCGTGTGCGGGCCCAGACATGCAGAACGCGGATGTGCGGACGTAAAGACACGCATGCGGGCCCAGACAGACACACACGGACTCACGGCCAAGGCCGCTCGCAGGCCTCTGAGGCACACGGACAGGGAGACACACTCAGGTCAACACACAAGGCCCCTCCGCACAAAAGTGGCAACACTGCCCCCAGGCTTACCCTCACATTAGGTTGCTTATCTATTTTCCTTGGGTCCCTGCCATGTACTGCCCGGGCCTGGCTTGGGGGGGTGAGTCAGGCCCACTCCCTGCCCTGGGGGGCTCGTGGCCAAGTGGCAGAGGCCCCGGAACATGCCACCGTCCCTCAGTCACGGGAGAAGTTATGCCCAGGGCTGGGACCAGGTCCGCAGCAGGAGCCGCTGGGCGGGAAGGGCTGCTGGGTGCTGGGTGCTGGGTGCTGGGTGCTGAGGCTTGCGGGAGCTGGGACAGCCTGTGTGGAGGTGTGGGAGGGAAGGGAGCAGGTTAGGATGGGGGAGTGGGTGGGAGCGGGCGCCGAGGGGGGGATGACGAAGGGCCTCGAGGGCTCGCCCATGGAGGGGTCGGCTTCTCCTGCAGGTGCTGCGGGTCCCAGAGGGTTTTCTGTTGTCGCTTCTGAGGAGTCTTTCAAGCGCCCTTTTCTACAGGCTTTGCTAATATATAGGAAAGTTCTTTTCTAAGCAAATGATCATCATTGCCCGCAAATAATGACAGATTTACCAGGTCCTTCTCAATATTGAAACCTCACTTATTTTCTTGTCTTATTGCCTTAACTAATCCTTCAAATGTTGAATAGAATGGCAAGAGCATACACCAGTCCCGAGCCCCCCGCACGGCAGCCAGGGCCTCTGAACGTTCAGGGAGATGGGGCCAGAGGGCCAGAGAGAGAAAGAGCCAGAAGGAGTCCTCACAGGTATGAGGAGGCAGGTACAGGTCAAGGACCAAGGCAGAGTCAGCAGGGCACTGAGTCCAGCAGATACCGGTGTGGTGCCCGGCCCGGCCAACCTGGGAGAGGGGTGACCCCGACCCTGATGGTCCACTCCTCCTCCAGGCTGGCTCTGGGCTGATGGGGAGGGGGCAGATGGACAGAGGCTCCTGGGATGGTAAGGAAGGCCCCATTGCCACAGGGACAGTGGGGCAGCACAGCCCAAGGACACCTTGGAGGTGGGGGCACCCATACCCCTGGGCCCTGAAATCCAGGTCAGATTTAGAGAGCAAAGATGGGGAGGCCAGGAGAGGGAGCAGCCTGAGAGGAAGCTGGGAGGCTGGACATTCGAGGGACAGACAGGCGCCCGGGAGGCTGGATGGGTGCAGGCCAAGGAGGCCCAGAGGTGAGGTTGGAGGAAGTTCGGGGTTGGGAAGGCTTTGGGTGCCAGGCTCTGGGGATCCACGGAAGGGTTTAAACAAGGGAGTGACCTCGTTGACTCATGCTGTGGGAAGGTCAATAATGGCTTGGGAAACTGTGGGAGCAAGGTCAGAGGGGGCAGAGAGACCAGCCGGGGGCCTCGACGGGCCTTCAGGACAGGTCCAGTTCCAGATGAGGGTGGCTGAGCAGGCTGGGGAGACCCGTGTGCTTGTGTAGCTTCACATAAGACCCAAACTGCCAGCCGCCCTTCCTCCCCCCAGAACCTGCCTGTTGGCCCCACTCCTGGCATCTGGACGCTGCCCCCACCGTGGGCCCCGCGGCCAGGGGAAAGGGCTCCTTGGGCAGCAGCCCTGGCTCACTGGGGCTGGGAGACTCGGGGGAACCCGGCCTCCGCTCCTGGGGCCGCATGGGCCTGGGTTGGCCGAGGCTCCCTGACCCTGAGCTGTGTGGCTGGAGGCAAGACCCTGCCTCTTTTCAGACCCTGTTTGCTCACCTATGAGATGAAGTGACACCCTACAACTTTGTTGTTAGGGGGATCTGATGTGCGCCAGGCCTTGGGCTGGGCACACAGTAGGTGCTTACTAAGTGTGAACTCTCCCCAGCCAAGACCTTGCCCACATGCCCCTGGTGACGGTGCTCAAAGCACATCTGGGCAGAGCACAGGCCACCCAGACGCTGCCGGTGACTGAGGGGCCCCAGGGAGAGGGGAGTTGGGGGTGGGGAGGGCAGAAAGCTCTTGGGACAATGTTCCCTACATGTGTGGGTCAGTCGAATCAGGGCAGGGTCTCCGAGTCCCGGTGCCCAGGAGAGGACCATGACCTGTGGCCTGGGCAGGGCTGATAAGAACCCATCAATCACCTGGGCCTGCCTCTCCCTCAACAGGGCCTCTCTCCAGCTGTTAGGTGGCCTCTGGGCAGAGGGAGGGAGGCCTCCGCTGACCACCTGCGTGTCTGACCCCTGGAGGGCATTGGGGGTGGGTGAGGGTCTGGGCCCTGCCCATCCCAGTGTCATTCCCCCCCAAGGCAAATGGGGACCTGGGGAGAGGTGTTCCTGCCCGATGTCACCCAAGGGTCAGGTGATAGCCTGACCTTTGTCCTGGGGGTGGGGGGAGCCAGGGGATGGGCTGGGGGCTCTGGCCTCTGGTTGGCCAGTGACTTCAATAAGTCCAGCCCTCCTTTTGGCCAACTTCTCCAAGGCTAAAGTAAGACCTTGCTGGTCTAAGACAGCCCCCCCACCCATAACACCTTCACAGAGGGGTGGGTGGGAGGTCCCCTCCGGCTGAGGAGGTCCCACCTCAGCTTAACCTAAAGCCAGAAAATCAAACACGGGCCAGGCTGTGCCGGAAGGGAGTGTGGGTGCAGCCTACGGAAGGCCTGAGGCCCAGGGTGGGCAGGGGCAGCCCCTGCTTTGCACCTCCTGCCCTAGGGACCCTCTCACCACCCCCTCTGGGGGGGGGGCAGAGCACACCAGGGCTGGGTGGGGAGGAGACGCAATGGGTAAGTACTGCCCCGGGGACCCCCAGCCCCGGGTTAAATATAGACCTGTGGCCCCTCCCACCACTCCCCCTACAGTGCTGCAAGGCCGGATAGGCAGATAAGCCTTAGGGGCAGCTAGGGGTGGCCATAGACCTCAGGCCTGACCCCGCCTCCCTCCAGTTCTGAGCTACCCAGAGAAGGAGGTAGTCTCTTACAGGGGTCCCTGAGCTCCCCTTTCAGCAGAAGCAGTTAGGTCCGATGGGCTGAATGGGGGTGAGCTGAGGGCTTTGGTGAGTGGGGAGGGCAGTGAAGGCTAGGGGGTGGGGAGAGTGGGCATTTTAGGCCTCAGGACCTAACATCCAGGAAATCCTGGATGTGGTTGCTGGGCCCAGCCCCAGGGGCTGTGGGCTGTGGCTTGGGCTGTGCCCTGGGACCCGCAAGTTCAACTCTTCTCTCCAGCTCTGACGGGAGGGTCTGGCCTGGCAGAGCCAGGGAGGCTGGGCACCTGGGGGTACCCTGGGGAAGGTGGTGTCACGGAAGTTTTCCAGAAGGAGGTAGCTGTCTGCATCTCAGTGCCAGCTGCAGCCTGGCATGAAGACAGCTCTGGCCTCGAGAGCTACCTGGTGCCGGCCTGGGGTCATCTTCTGGGAGAAGCTTCCCTGACCAAGCCCAGCCACTGAGCTCCGTCAGGTCTCACAGGGTTCTCACGGGGTTTCTGGGCCCATTCCCCAGGGCTGGGTGCCACCCCCCTCCCTCACCCCAGGCCTCCTGTGCCTCCTTTTCATCTCCAGCTTTCCTGCTACCAAGATGTCATTGCCACCGACAGTGACCTCCGGGCCGGAGCTGCACAGCCCTGAGGGGGCTGCGAAGAAGCTGCAGACCCTACCAGTGCGGGGTACTTGGCGGGCAAGCAGTGAAGGCACGCCCAGCACCCACCGTGAGGACACTCGGCCCGGCCTGGGCACCCTTCGGTGGGCTTTCTCCCGGACAAGCCAGCGGGCCTCAGGCCAGGCCCTCGAGGAGGACCTGGGCCTGTTCCAGCGCAGCTCCCGCTTCCTGTTCCGGTCCTTACGGCGTGCCCAGGATAATGGCTCCCCTGCCCACCAGCCCCAGGCCACTGCTGTGCCAGGGGTGACCCATGGCCCAGAGGTGCCCTCTAGGGTCATGGATGGGGGCCGCCGGCAGTCCTCCGCTGGGGTGGGGCCTGAGGAACTGGAACCTGAGGCAGGTGAGAGCTTCACAAACAATACTGAGCATGCGGGGAAACTGAGGCCAGAGGGTGAGCAGCAGGGCCCAGGCTTCCTGACAGGCTGTCCTCCCCAGGTCCCCCAAACACTGCCCTGCACGATTGCATTTTACATTCTCCCAGCATTTCAACCAGGGGAGCATCCACTACGCGGCTCAGAGAGCTGAGAGTGAGCCAAGCGAGACTCAAGAGAGGTTAAGTGACTTGCCTCAAGTCTCACAGCCAGGAAGTGGAGAAATGGGATTTGAACCCAGACCTGCACGACCCCAGAACCCTCACCTCTCCACAGCCTTCCGGAGCCTGGCTCCTGGCTAAACCAGAGGGCTGGACAAGGCCCTGGCCCTCTCAGGTCCCAGGGTCCCAGAGGGCGCCTGGCAGCCATGGGCGCATGGGGACTGCCAGGGCGGGACACACCAAAGGTGCTGAGGCGGTACCGCTCACTGCCGCTTTCCTCGCCTGTCCTTGCAAAAGGCAAATCTGTGGCCGATCTCATCACCGAGCGGCAGCTGCTGCGGGCCTTCGAACAGCTGCGGCAGCTGGAGGTGCGGCTCGTGGCCGAGAAGGCCTCGCACACCTTCGAGGAGGACCCCACCGGCTTCGCGCGGCGCGCCATGGACGTGTGCCTGCACTACGACGGGCTGGCGGCTGAGATCGGCGCCATCGTGCGCGAGACGCTGGGCCCGGACGGCGTGGACGCGGCGGCGCTGGGCGACCTGGCCCGCGTGGTGCGCGCGGAGGAGGCGGCCCACCCGGTGCCCCCGGCCGACGGCGACTTCCTGCTCACCCCGCGCCGCTGGCGCCAGCACTGGGAGGACGCGGTGAGGCGCAGCGCGCAGGAGCGCGTGCGGCAGGCGGGCGCCGGGGAGGCTCGGGGGGCAGCCGAGGCCGAGGGCGCATCGGGCCTGGCCCAGCTTCTGGCCGAGCTCGGCGGCTTGGTTCGCAGCGACCTGCACAAGGTGCGGCAGGAGGTGCAGCCGGCTTACTCGGCCGCCGGCCTCCCGGCGTGGGAGGCTTACCTGCGCGCCTTCCACGGCGCGGTGGCCCAGCGCCTGCAGGAGCTCGCACAGGACGCCCGGGGCTGCGAGCAGCTCTATGTCCTGTTGGACTGGGCGGCCAATGTCTATGGCAGGTGAGGCCCCAGCCAGAGCGCTGCGGGACGGGGGGGGGGGGGGGGGGGGGCGGAGAGGCTGGCATTGCCCACCTGGCACTGCCCGCCCGGAGACCTTTGGGAGCCCCCTCCCGCCCCCCCCGCCCCCCGAGGAGCATGGGGCACTTTTCTTCTCTCTTTCCTCCCTGGGAGAGGCTGGTGGTTGGGCGTCCGAGATCCCTGGGACTTTGACATTCTTTTCTTCCTGCTCTGGGCCATGGTACTCTCCCATCAGGATTTTCTTAAGGGGCCACCCATGCACCTGTTCCTGAAAGCAGGAAAGCATCTGAAGGGAGTCCAGGTAGAGGGCCCATGCTAGTCCACAGGGCACCTGTGTGCATTTACAAAAGGGCAGCTCTCCAGGCAGGACACAGCTGCGGATCACAGATGCTGGGCATGGGTTGGATCTCACCGCCACTCTTCCCTTTGGATGGGCACCTAGGTACAGGGCCCAGCCTGTTATCCGCTCCCACCCCCAGCTCTGCACGGTGTGATGGGGGTGGATTACCTTTGCTGCTGAGCACTCCTCGGCTCTGAAGGCCAGAGAGCAGGTGGGAAGAGAATGACTAAACACTCCTGGGTTCATTAATTGGCTGTGTGGCCTCAGGCAGGTGCCCATCACTCTCTGGACCTCCCTGGAGTGGGCTGGAGAGTGGCAGATCCCTGAGCTGTGTGGTGCTTGGTGACGGTGTCAGGCTTTGGCCAGGGGGAAACTGGGACAGCCACTAGGCCCTCAGCCCCTCCCCTGCCTTCCAGTCCTGACTTCCTGGGTGCCCCGGACCTGACTCTGGCCACAGAGCCACTACCCCCACTCCTGGCACCTGCCTTGTGGGCCCGCCTGCAGAGTGACTACACCAGCTTCCTAGAGGTGAGGCCGGGGCAGGGCCAGGCCTGAGGGGCATGATCCAGGTTGAACGTGGCTACCTCACTGTGGGGAGGTGTGGCGCCCAGAATCACCCTGGGTCTGTGGCCCTGGCTCAGGCCAGAACCACTTCTCACCCTGTGGCCTTTGGCATGGGCCTATGCCCTGGCAGGATGGTCCTTTTTTCCAAGGGCACACGACAGAGTGCTGGAGGTAGGGGAACTGGGACCTCCTTCTTGGGAGGGTCTCACTGTGCCCCTCTCCCCACCTCTCACAGACCAAGATCACGAGCTGCTTCGATAGCATCCTGCAGCTAGAACAGAGTCGTTGGGCGGACGCTGAGGCCCCCGATGTGCTACAGGGCCTCTACCACACGCCGCTGTCCATTGATGTCCACATGGTGAGCCTCAGGAGGAGGGATGTATATTTGGGCCTCTGGTGGTGTTTGGTCCCCCTTGAGGTGAGGACACCCAGAACTATACAATCCAGTCCCGAACTCCCTTCCCCATTAGCCGAGAGCCTGAGGACCCACCTGGGGCGGAATCAGGGACCCTGGGTGTCCTGCCATCTTGGGAGCCCCGGGGCATAGTGCCCAGCTTAGCCAGTGGCCGGTGGATGTGGGGAGTCGGGAGGAGCTTCTGGAAGCTGTAGCCGAGATGGGGAGACAGAGCAGAGCAGGCTGGAGACAGGGGGCATCGGGATCTGGGCTCTGATGTGGGTTCAGCAGGTGGCATCTCTTGCAGCTCGTGGCAGAGCACGTGAAGGCGGCCGGTGCCATCTCTGCGGAACTGGAGGCCACCACCCTGTGCATCTGCACGCGGGCGCTCAGCCTCTTCTTGCCCAGGTGCGGGCACATCCTCCCCCCCAGAATGGGGTGGGTGGAATGGCCAGGGTATGGAGGGCTGTCGTCCATGGGGGAGGGCCCAACCCGTTTGCTCAGAGTCTGAGATCCCCGGACAGGGGAGAGGAAGGGGCCTCCTTATAAGGCCCGGGGTCTGGGTGGGGACCTGAGGGGAGGGCGGACCCTGGGTCATAGCACCTTCAGTAAGGGTCCCTAAGGCCTCTGCATACTTCACCCCCAGGTTTGAAAAGGCTTTTCTAGAGTCGAAGGCAGTGAACGAGCCTCATCTGGGCGCCAATATCAACGCCTGCGAGGAGCTCAGGTGGGTCTCTCCTGCTCCTCCGCAGGGGAGGTGCCCGGAACGGCCAGCAGGGGGCGCGCGAGCTCGGGAAGTGGGGTAGAGTAAGCTCCTGGCGGCCGGCGCACGGGAGAAGAATCTGGCGCCGGGGGGCTGCGTTGGGGAACTTCCCAGAAGGCCTCCATGGATGGCCCCCCTCTCCGCTCCCGCCCCCGCTGTAAGGTCCTCCCTCCGCCCTGCAGAGCTGAGGCCCTGGAAAGGATGCAGGGAGTTTCAACGCTGAGCCGAGGCTAAGTTCCAGCCACCCCAGTCATGCCCGTTACCTGCCCAGTGTGTCCCCTGCCACCTTGGGCTCCTTTCTTTCCTCCCTTCATCCAAGTTAGCCATCTTCCTTTTCAGGGACACTCCCTTCTCCCGGAAGCCCTCCCTGACCCTCCGTCCCCCCTCCCCTCTACCCTAGGGGTGGCCCCTGGGTCCCTCGGCCCCAAAAGGCAGAGCCCCCCTTTCTGCTGGCAGCAGCGGCCCCCCTTCTATGCTTTCAACACCAAGACCAGCTTCAGTGTCCCCCACATTGTGGGTGCACCAGCAGCTGTGGGCGTGGACCTTGAGCCACCCCGGCTGGGCTCCCATCTCAGCTCTGCCACCTGCTCGCTGTGTGCCCCAAGATAAGTCACTTCCCTCTTCTGTGCCTCCTTTTGTCATCTGTGAAATGGAGATCGGAGCACCTGCTCCCGAGGGTTGCATGGGGACTCAGTGCCTTAGAGGGATCATCTCATGTTCACTTTTCGTGAGCACTTGTGATGTGCTGGGTGCTGTGCCAGTGTTTACCTGCCTGATGCATTTCATCCCATGTGCGCTGTCCCCGGGGAGTGCACAGATGGGAAAGTGGAGGCTCGGAAAGGAAATGCCACTTGCCCGCCATCGTGCGCCCTCCTGTATGTGCTGGACCTGGGACTTAAACCAGGCTTGTCTGAATCCAAAGCATGACCATGATGAGGACCACTCGTCTAACACTCTCTCATCCCTAATCTGAGCCAGGCTGGTCTGGTCCGTTCAGCCCCAGGAAACATTCTCTGCCCCTTGGTAGGCAACCTCTGGCCCAGCCCCTGATGCAACTTTAGCGTGCCTTTTTGTGTCCCTGTTTGGCGACTGGGCATAGCCTGGTCCTCAGTTTCCTCAAAAGTGAAATGGGGACATTGTCACGTTCAGGGAGGCAGTTATGGGGCTCAAAGGAGGGCCTCTGTGCCAGTCATGGCCAGGCTGCACTGTCTCATCACCGAGATGGACAGAAGTTTGGTCCAGAGCTGCCACAGGGGAGTTCTGCTGTGCCGTGGGGCCACCACCGCCCCCTACGGACCTCCCCTCTGTGATCAGCTCCTGGGGCTTTAGTGCTGGCTTCTCACCTGTCTCTGGGAAGCCCTCCCTGACACTCCCTGGGGGTGGCAGCTAAGTTCCCCCCAGAAGGCAGAGGTTCCCCCTTTCTGCTGGCGGCAGCGGCCCCCCTTCTCTGCCTTCAACACCAGGACCAGCTTCAGTGTCCCCCACATTGTGGGTGCACCAGCAGCTGTGGGAATGGACCTTGAGCCACCCCGGCTGGGCTCCCATCTCAGCTCTGCCACCTGCTCGCTGTGTGCCCCAAGATAAGTCACTTCCCTCTTCTGTGCCTCCTTTTGTCATCTGTGAAATGGAGATCGGAGCACCTGCTCCCGAGGGTTGCATGGGGACTCAGTGCCTTAGAGGGATCATTTTGCCTTCAGGGTTACTACCCCGTGCAGCCCTAGGGGCTGCCCTTCACATTCTAGTCTAAGTGAATGGAGTTGGTGTGGCATCTAGCCTCCATGGCTGTATGCCAGAACTCGTTCCACAGCCTGCTCCTCCTTGCCCACTTCCTCCCCTGTCCTGGCCCCTCCCCAGGACCCATCTTCTGGCCAGGTTCCCAGGAACCTTTGAAGAGCTGGAGAAACCTCTAGCGGCTGCCACCTGCACCTTCCAGAAGCGGCTGCTCCAGGGCCTGCAGTGTGATGTGCAAGTGAGTGGGACTTCCCTCCCCACTTTCCACACCCAGCAGGTGCGCCCTGTGCCCTGGAGCCCGGGGGGCCAGTTCACAGCATTCACGTACCCCCGGGGCAGCTTCAGGGGTGGTACATTGTGGGGTGGGCAAGGGACCTGAGCTGAGCAGTGAGGTCAGGAGACACCTACTTACTTCAGTCTCCGCCTCTCGGAGAAGGTGGGTTCAAGGAGCCAGACCCCTCACCCAGCCCCTCAAGGCCTCCCCAGGTTCCCCTCAGCAAGGCCTGCCCAGAGGCTCAAACTCAAACCCTGTCCGTTGGAGCTCGGGGCCTGGAGGAGGCATTCCTGCCAAAGGCCTAGTGACTTTCGTGGCCGAGAGAGGAAATGTTATCAGGGTGACTTTAGAAGGGAGTCAGATAGCCCCTCCAGAGTTTTTTCCCGGGGACAGGTTGTCCCTTGGCCCGAAACGCCCCATGAGGAGCCAGGCGCTGGGCTCTGAGGAGCGGGGGCTCTGAGGGGCGGGTCTGGGGAGGGGGAGGATACGGTTGGAAGACTCGTGTCCCCCTCTGCTCCCAGCCGCTTTTCAGGGTCCTGTGCACCAAGGCCTGGCTGACACAGGACGTGCTGCAGCCGATCATGGACAAGGTGGTGGCCTTTGCCCGCCATTTGGAGCACGTGGCCCCACTGCGGGCGCAGGTATCTCAAGGGCAAGGGCTCTGGAGGGGACGCGCCCTGGGCTGGGGCTGTTAGCTCTGACTGACCCTGACCCTGCTCCCTGGCCCGCCCAGGAGACTCTGCAGGAGGTGCATCGGTATGTGGTCCGTGAGTACCTGGCCCAGGTGCTGAGGCCGCGTGAGCGGTTCCGGGGTGAGGAGCGCATGACTGGCTCCCAGAAGATGGGCCTCGACGCCCAGGCCATTGGTGACACCTTCCAGGGCTTGGTAGGAGCATCAGCTGACAGCCCCAAGTGCTTGCCTCCTCTAGGGCCTCTGGCCTGTGGACCCTCCACTGGCACCCCCTATTCCCATTTTAGTGGCCTCTGCAAGAGCCCCGCGGGGTGGGCTTTGGCAGAAGTGGCCCCCCCTCCAACTCTCCATCAACTAGGAGAGGGATTGGGAGTTCTGGTATGGCTGGGGCGGGGCCAGGTGGAGGACATCTCCGTATACTTGCATACAGTTGGTGGGGTGAGTAGGGAAGGGGCGGGGCCTGTGGGAGGCTTTTCCAGCACCCCTGACCCAGCCCTTGCAGCTGAGGCACTTCATACACACACACCCCTTATCTGGGCTGTTGGTCCCCCACAGGCTGTAGGATTCCGGGCAGTACTTCTGGGCCAGGGCCTCAGTTTACCCATCTGAGCAGAGACGGGAAGACATCTCTGCACTGTATCGTGGGAAGGGAAGACGAATATTGCTCTGTGGCTCAGTCCACAGCACCAGGCCCGGGTCCCCAGTCACAGTGGGGACGTGGTGGTGGCTGCAGGGGGCGGGCTTGCTGTGCCCTAGTGGAGGGGTTGCCGGCATGGACGGCAAGGAGGCTCCCCGGGGAGGTGGCCGGTCCGGCACTGTCTCCATGTCTCCACAGGGCTCTGAGGCCACGTGGCTGGACCAGGCTATCCCGTGTGTGGCTGACATCCTGGGCGAGACTTACAAAGATGACATCCGGAGGCACCTGGAGACACTCATCGGGAGCTACCCTGACATCAGGTTTGTTACCCACCTGCTCCCTCACTGGGCTCCGAGGACAGAGCGCTGCCAGGCCCGGGGGCAGGCGGGCAGGCAGGGACCCTTCAGAGGGTCCCTGTGGTTCTAGGTGGGCAGGTGAGGAACCACAGGGAGGCACAGCTTGTTCCAGTGGGGAGGGGAGCCACGGTGCAGGCGGGGTGGCCCCCCCAAGCCCCTCTGAGTGGGGGCTGCCCCTCCTTCAGAAGCTATTCTTGGCCATTCTCCTTCAGTGCTGTGGGGTGGGGAGGACCCTAGAGCCTTGGGGGGGGTCGGGGTCAGGGCACCTTCCTGGTCATCAGGCGTGGAGACAAGTACCTGCATCTGCGAGTCTGAAGGGGAGGGGCAGCTCTCTCTGCGAGAAAGCCCTATTGGGAGCCCGACTCCTGACACCGGCCAGGAGGAAGGAGGCTTTGATCCCCAGGAGTGTGTTGGGGGGAATGGTGAGTCATCGATCCCGTGGAAATTCCAGCCCGAATCTTTCCATAGCCTTGGAGATTCCAGGATGGGGAGGCCACAGAGAGCCCTGGGCAAGGCCCTTCTCCCCAGCCAGGACTGTCTCTGCCTTTGGCTGGAAATGACTACCCCTCACAGCTCAGGGGTTTCCCCCCTGGTCCCTGGAGTTCCCCTACACTCGGCCGGCTCTGCCCTCCGGAGGGCAGGAGGAGGGACTCCGTCCGTACGCTGCTGGGCCGGGGCCCCCGCAGTGCCTCTCTCCCTGCTGCATGTCCGTGTGGCTCCCTGCGCAGTGCTCCCAGGAAGAGGTCCAGCACACCTCCTGGCCTGGACCCACTCTCCTTGAAGCCATATCACTCCCTTGCTCACTCCTCCACTGTTTCTTGAAGCCCAGCTTGGACTGTTTTCCCTGATGGGCATGCCCCCCCTCCTCCCCACCCAGCTCCACACCCTTGGAGCCCCAGCCACCCTGTCCAGGGGCACTGCCCGCTCCCCTGACCCCGGCCTTGGTCATTCTTGGCCTTTCTCGGTCCAGGCCCCAGGGATGCCGGGTGCCCCTGTACTTGAGCCCAGGGGTTCCCCTCACTCAAGGTTGGGACTGCCACTGGAGATGTTGGGCCTACAGTGATCGGGGCGTGTCTTTGCAGGCGGGACCACGTGCTGGCCATTCTGGCTCTGCGCAGACTGGGCCACCGGCGGAACCAGCGCCTCCTGCAGCATGCCCAGTACCTGCTGAGGGCTGCGGCCAAGGCGGGCGGCTCCGCGGCTGCTGGGGGCCACGTGCTCTTCGAAGAGATCGAGGTGTCTACCTCCATGGACCTGCTGATCACCTGCATCTAATGCTCCTGGGTCTGAGAGGGGGCGGGCTCAGGTGGGGGGCTGCATCAGCTAGAGGGTCTAAGAACCAAGCTTGGAGCCCAGGGAGGCACGCTCAGCCCCACTCCCAACCTTGAAGCCCATCGTAAGGAACCCTCATCCTCAGCCATGCGTGGCTGCTTACCAGAAGGCACGGCAGGAAGAGAGGCATTTCAGGCATGTGTGCGGGAGTGTTTGGGGTGGCAGAGGTTCCCTTCAGTACAGCCCACCAGGGAAGGCCTCCCCGCCTAACTGTCCAGCACCACCCCCAGTCTGAATGTGAAGACCAGAGTATTTATTTTTAAAATAAAGGTGAATTAAAATGTGCCTCCCTAAAGAGGGGGTGGGGCCGAGTTGGCCAGGAGCAGAAAGTGTGGGTCCCCACATCGTAAGGGGTCGGGATGGAAAGTTCTGTGATGACTCCATTTGGTTGATGGACCTTTCCTGCCCATTGTACAAATGGGGAGACTGAGGCAGGTACAGACCTGGGAAAGCCTGGTGGGTTTGCAAAGCCTATGGCTGTGCAGATTAAACAGTCTTTAACCCTGGGATCCTGGGTCCACTGGCCTCATGTGCCAAGTGAACCTCACCCAGCAGGGGTGGGAGCTGTTCTGTCCTGTTCTAAACAGGCCTGGGCTCCTTGGAGACGAGAAAAGGCCAAGGCATATTCCGCAGCTTGACATATTTGGGTTAGATGTAAGAGGGACTTCCCAGCAGGGCAAGTGTCACCCAAGGAGTATGTGTGGAGGGTGCTGATCCTGCTGGTCTCAGCTCTGCAGGCGGGGGTGCAAGGAGATTGCCCCAGTGTGCACCTGTTCCACCCCCCCCCGCCCACCCCCCTTCTCTCCCAGAAGGCTGGCACTGGAATTTGACTCCAGCCTCCTGGCAAGGCTACAAGGAAACTCATTTGCATGAGCAGCCTCCAGCTTGCCGGGGAGACTGAGCGCTGAGATGGTGGGGGGAGACACTGAGACGGGCAGCCCCGGGTGCCTTCCCACTGCCCTTCTGCAGCAGACCACCGGCTCTCCGAGCCTGACCTTGACCACGGCAGTGGTGGGAGGCAAGTGACTGCAGGTGGGCCAAGGTTCTAAGAACCCAATGATGTTGAGTCTTCTGAGCACAGGGCGAGGGTTCTAACAGACTGCAGGCCCAGGCAGGTGGGGGATAGGACTCTCCTGCCTCCCCCGGGCCCACCTCCCCACACCACGGACAGCGAGGGGCAGTGCCCGGGCAGGTCTGCCACAGCCCCTATGCCAAGGCTGGAGAACACAGCCAGATCTGAGTGTTGTCGGGGTCCTGAAGGGAGTAGAAGCAGGTACCAGGGGCAGCCCCCTCCATGAATACATGGGGGCTGGGGGTCAGGGGTGCGGCAGGCAGGAGGCTGAGGGGGTGTCCAGACCTCCCCAAGCAGGGAACCCGGTGGGGTGGGTAGGGCAGGAATAAGGATGAGGAGAGGCTGCGGTTCAGTTCGCAAGCTCCAGGACGGGGCGGGGGCGGGGGGGGCTGTTTCGGCTGATGACAAGCAGTTGTCCTGTCTTTCCACTGTGGGGAAACTGAGGCCCACAGAGGGTGGAGGTTGCTGCACACCAGGCCCCAGCACAGGTAGCCTGAGACGCTCAGAGCCAGGGGGAAAGGGAGGTGTTGGAGGGGCACCGCCTGGGTGGGGTGGGCTGTAGGAGGGCTGGATCAGATCCTGTCCAGGTTCTCCCTAGGGAGCCCACACCCCATGTTGGAGCCCCAGTCCCCTCGTGGAAGCCTCCTCCTGCAGCCCCTGGCCCTGACCCTGACCCTAACAGGCCTGGCCCTGCCTGAGCCCCTTGGCTGGAGGCTGAGGGTCCTGGGGCTGAGTTTCCAAGACGGGTTGCAGAGGTGGGGAGGGGTTCAGTCCCAGCCATGAGACAGCAGGCAAATTCCTTTACTTCCCTGTGCCTCTGTTTTCTCTAGCCATGAAATGGGGGTGCTCTCTGTGCTCCTCCCCCAGGCTGGGGAGGCTGAAGTATAAGTCAGCCTGAAAGCCAGAACCCTGGCCCTCCTGTTACCCCGTGTGCCTGCGGCCCGGCCAGACCACAGTCTGCAAACAGAAGCTAAGCGGGTCTGGTGCAGGAGTGGGGGTGCTCTGAGTGGTAGTGAAGCCTGAGGTCTGTGGGGTTGCTGAGTGGGGCAGGTGCCCGGGAGGAGGCTGGGAAGAGGCGCCGAAGCTGAGGAGCTGCTCTCTGACAGGAGCTTCCTGCCTCAGTGGAAAGGGTTCAGGCTGAGACCCGGGCCATCTTCCTGAGCGTGTCTGGGCCTGGAGACAGGAAGTCAGGTTTTCCTGGCTGGAACCTTCATGCCCAGGCGGGTATGTGTGCCTCGTGTGTGTTCCTGTGAGCCCAGCAGTGTCTGGACACTGGGGCTGGCTTCCCTAGATTAAGTTGGGATGAGCAGGAAGCTGGATAGCAGCTCCTGTGAGGGTGGATCAGGAAGGCTGGGGCCCAAAGGAGGACCAGACCAAGGGAGCCGGTGTCTGGCCATTGACCATTCTGCCCGAGACCCTCCCGTTCTCCCTGCCCAGGTCCTAGGAGGCCTTGCCGAGAGTCTAGCGTGTTCCCTTGGCCATCCTGTTGTCCAGGCCAAGCGTGGGGGAGGGGCCGGCGCTCAGAGGGCAGCTTCCGGACTTGTGGGCCAGGTTGTCTGGCTGATAAGGAAGCCCGTGTGCGTGTGTGTGTTCCTGCGGTGCCTGGGGATGGAGGGGCCGTGCCCAGTGTCTGCATTCCCCTGCATTCTGGAGCAAGACATCCTATTTGCCCCCAGAACTTGGGTCCTGGACCCTACCAGCTGATCCCTGGTCTCGTCTCTGCCTGGCCACTCTTCCTCCGGCATAGCTCCCTGCTCTTTCCTCTCCAGCTCAGCTTGGCTTCCTTCAGTGCCACACTTCCTGGGGCTCCTTCATGGATCGGAGGTTGCTTCTGGTCTCTGGCCCCGAGCCTGTGGGACAAACAAGGCCCCCTCTGAGCAGTTTTTGGGACCCCAGCCCAGCCTGGGGAGGGCAGTGAGAAAGTGCAGAGGGGCAGACTGCCCAGGACGGAGGGCTCAGGTCCGAGGACACGATGGGTACCACAGCCTGCCAGTCCTTCTGCCAGCCCAAAGACAATCCCGGGGTGTCGGGAGGCGACCTGAGTGTCCCTAACCCTAGCTCAGCCTGGGACTTGTGCCTTCTCTGGGTACCTCTCCCTGCTGGTCCCCTGGTGCTCGGGCCCAGCTCCCCTCAAGCGTGTTGTGCCATACACGCCCACGGGGCCACACCAGGCAGGAGTGTGTTCAGGTCTCGGCCCTGCCCTCCTCTTGCTGATGACCGTTTCCGCTCAGAGGCTCCGTCTCCTCTGAGGCACGGGGGTAGACGAGAGCATCCACAGGTCCCGGCAGGGCTGTCAGCGTGTCATCTCCGTGCCTGCATAGTCTCTCCGTCTTCCTTGTTTGCCTGGTGACCCCAGCCCCTTCCTTCCTGGCCCCACACCTCATGGGGTCAGCATCCTCATCGGCCAGGATGCGGTCCTTGAAGGCCCCCACTGCTGCAGGGGAGGGGAGAGGAGGCTGCAGCGTTCCCAGGGTCACCCCCCATCCCCATCATCATTTCCTTCCTTTGCTACCATGAGGTCCCTCTGAGAACTCAGCAGGCCGGAGGGGCCCTTCTCGTGGAGCTCTGGGCCGTGGGCCTGTGTACAGGTCTGGGGAGACAAGGATGCTGCTGACAAGGGCCAGCCTCACAGAGCCCTGGGTCTGGGAGAATCAAACCCCCCCCCCCCCCGCCGCCCCCGGTGGCGGTGCAGGCCCTCCTTGTAGGGAGATGTGCCAGGGGCCGGGAGCTCCCACGGGTGAGTGCTGCCAGGGTCTCAGCCCAGCCTCCCTGGGCCCCCTCCTCTGGTGAAATGGTTGGAGGGGACGAACCCCGGACAAGTCAAACCCACCCCGGGGTCTGCTCCTCTTCTGGGACCCGTGGGGCCTGGACTAGTCATTGCAAAGACTTTCCTCTTCGTAGGGATTCCCATGCCGTGTCTGCACACACACATCCCCACCTCTCAGTGGCCTTTAAATGGTATTTGTTAGATGTTTTCAGTGTTTGGTTTTTTTTAAAGATTTTATTTATTTATTTGACAGACAGAGACACAGCGAGAGAGGGAACACAAGCAGGGGGAGTGGGAGAGGGAGAAGCAGGCTTCCCGCGGAGCAGGGAGCCCGATGCGGGGCTCGATCCCAGGACCCTGGGATCATGACCTGAGCCGAAGGCAGATGCTTCACTGACTGAGCCACCCGGGCGCCCCAGATGTTTTCAGTGTTTAACTCTCATCATGTTTTGGATAGCAACACCATCACATAGCTCATAATTTAAAAAAGTACAAAAAAGTTATAAGGGGAGATGTCTCCTTACTTCCATCCCTCGTGTCCTTCCCCAGAAGCAACCAGGGCTCCTTACAGGATAAGAAGCAATGCTCGTCCAAGGAATATTCGTGAATAATGAAGTGTCAGCCACTGGTGAAGCACCTGGGTTGGGGGAATGGGGCAGTCCTTCTTGAGCACCGCTGTAAAAGCAAATGATGAAGAACCTAATGCTCTTACATTGACAGAATCCTCAAATAATGAAATCTTAGGATCTTGGAAAAGAGGAATGTCGTGAAAAGTCCTGCCATTTCTGGGGCACCCACCAAGTGTGTGTGCCTGGCTGTGCTCGCTGGTTTATGGCTTTCCTCCTTCCTGCGGATTCGGTGCAGGGGTTAAGAATCAGCTTCTGGGTCCAGACACCTCTGGGCTGGGACCCCAGCTCTGCACCTTCCTAGCTTGTGACTTTGGGCAAGTTACTCCACCTCTCTGGGCTCTATCTCCAGGTGTCAAATGGGGAGCATTCCATGAGAAAATGCAAATGTGGTCCTGGCTGAGGGCCTGGCCTGCAGCTGGCATTCCCCCCAAGAGAAGCATTGTTGTTTTTATGTGCACCATCTCCTCTAACCCTT